TATTATTATTATTATTATTATTATTATTATTATTATTATTATTATTATTATTACTATTATTATTCATTGTACAGTCAGCCAGATGCTCAGACTGGCATTTTTGTCTACCTATCAAATCCTTACCAAGGACCTGGGATAGGCAAATCTGGATGTTTGATGGTGTTATAGATATCGCCGCAGGATGGAAGCTGTTCCAAGCAAAGCTGCCTTCTGCAATTGACTGATGGCAAATTTGTCAATGCCTATGGTATTCAAGTGGTGCTCCAGTTGTTTTGGGACTGCACCCATGGCGCCTATTACTATTGGTCCTACCCTTGCTTGCCTTTGCCATAGTTGTTCGATTTCTATTTGTAGGTCTTTGTATTTTGTTATCTTCCCCAGTTCTTTCTCTTCTCTTCTGCTGTCTCCAGGCACTGCCATTATTATTGTTCTTATTGTTATTGTGATCATTATTCTGTGTTATGTTATTGATTACAGTTTGAGGCTATTGCTTACCATTTTACAGTTTTCATCCGAGTTATTAGAACTGAAACCTGAGCTGATTAAAAGACTGAAATGACACATAAACCCAAGTAAATAATTAATGAATGGCAGATCAGGGATGAGCAAGCCCAGCCTGAGTAACACAGCAGAAAATAGTTTACTGGACAAAAACCACATACTAACATACCATGGTTCTTTCTAACATACATACCGATGCAATTCAAAGTGCATTGACGATGTCTCCTCGAATAGTGATGAAACATTTGCAAAAAAATTGCCAAGCTCGGAGCTCAAAGCAACAGCCCAACTAGCAACCTGAGCTACTAACATTTCAACATATAACCCCCCTTGTGATACAATACCATTAAATCAGCTGCAAAGGCACTTATATGCATAAAGTTTAATATTAATAGAGGTAGTTCTTGACTTACAACCGTTCATTGAGTGACCATTCAAAGTTACAACAGCACTTCATCAAAATTTGGATGCTTGGCAACTGACTCATATTTATGACGGTTGCAGTGTCCTGGGGTCAAGTGATCATCTTTTGCAGCCTTTTGACAAGCAAACTCAATGGGGAAGCCAGAACCGTGTTACTAATTAACAACTGCAATTATTTACTTAACAATTGTGGCAAGAAAGGCTTAAAATGGGGCAAAATTCTCTTAACAGAAGTTTTGGACTCAACTGTCAAGGGCTGCCTGTACACATTTAGTAACCATAATGAAGTGGCACAATGAACGGTTCTGAACTACAAATAGGGTTGTGGGTTCAATTTCATATCTCAATTTAGCCACAAAACTTACCAGGTGAATATAGATCAGCTACTGCTTTTAAGTCAAACCTACCCTAGAGGGTTGGTATATGGATAACGTAACAGGAGACAAAAATATGAATAGAGGAGATCCTTGGAAGAAAGTTGGAATAAAATCATTATTTAAATATGTATATTCTATTGTGATGAAAGCAGTTACATATCTCTATGTTTGTCTGCTAGTTTATGAATAGACCTCAAATTAGTATTACTGTTATCTTGCTTGCCAAATCTACCCTAACTGAAAGGAGATGGTTTAAAATAGCTGAACTTTATCAAATCCAAGAAGCCTAGAAAATTGTAACAAGCATAATTATCGCTAATGAAGCTTAAACTATCAGTATCCATGAGATTGTTCTTTCAGAGAAAATGCAGATGTGCTGTTCGCCCAGCCATTCAGTCAATCCAGCATCTAACTTAGTTTAAGCATTGCCCAGCAGTATTGCTACTTTTAACAAGTTCTGAGCCCTGCCACTCACTCACAAGATGATTTCCTGGTTTTTAAACACAGTTCTTGCAACTCAGCTTCATCCTGTTACATCAAATTGCACCTTTGCTGCTCTACTATCAGTCTCTCACTCTTTTGGGCTATAGCCATTTATGCAGATTGCACTATTTGAATGTAATGCACTTAAAATTAGCAGCATGCAACACTTCCAACTACTGAAAAAGTGCTGTCTAAGTCTAGAGACAGAATTATGAACAGCTAGACTAGGCCTCATATGTATTCCCATAGTCTGACACTGTAAACTGAAAATTCCCAGCAAGTTGATAAAGTACAATATGGAAGGGAGGGTTGGAGAGGGGTTCAGGACAGGCCAATTATAATCACCCCTATTTGATTTGTGCAGCTGATAAATGTATAATCTACTATAGTTACACATTCTGACAGCTTTCCAAAGCAAATCTTTAATTATACATTCTTCTTGTAGCACAGTAATTCTGTGGTGCATTTCAACAAAATCCTAGCATGCAAAAAGACACCGATTAAGATTTAGCATCTGGATGCTAAAGATACAAGGAAGCTGAGACGTGCTGTAAAACCATAGAGCTGCTTCCATGTGGTGAGGGAAATGGCTCCGGCAATTATGATTCACACTGCAGAGCCAACATGTTAGGCGATTTATACAGCAGTAACCAGAACAGGCTGCCACATCTCAGATCCATTGCAGAGTAGAGAAATGCCACGAGTAGCCACAATATCCCACCAGCAACTGCACCCAAAGACATGAAATAAAAGGAACCTTCTGTTCAGATCTGAAATGTACACATAAAACATAAAACAAATACTATATATATATGTGTATGTATGTATGTATGTAGAATGACAGGCTAGCAAGGGTCATCACTGTGTTCAAGCTTGCTAGAACATCCGGATGAGCAAGGACTAAAGAGATGATGCCTTTTACCTTCAAATAAATGCTGTAGACAACCCGTTGAATAAACGGATGCTTGCTGGTGTGATTATGATGCCAGAAAAAATATGGGGCGCTGTGGGGTATCCTTGGCAATCACGGCCACCCACACATCATCGAGAGAGATTTCTAGGAATTACTTTTCATTGTAAAGGTGCCCCCCAACTTTGCTTCAATCAAAAAGCCTCCAATCTCCACCGCACAAGCAGATGGGTCACCACCCCAGGCGGGAAAGACCAAGGGAATCAACCGGGAGGCAGAATCGTTTGAACGATCGAGGCCGAGCTGCGTGTCAGAGCCCCTTTTCTCCGACCCCCAAATCAGAAACGGAGCCGGAGGACAGAAGAATGGAGGTTTGCGCGAGAGGACGGCCAGCCGCCAAGGCAAAGCCGGGGGAACCGGCATGAATGGGCAGGAGAGGCTTGGACGGGCCGCTTGGCGACAGGCTTCGGAGCGAAGCGCGGCACAAAAGGTGACAGCATCACCACCCCTCCGTCCCCCTCCCAGGGCTCCCCGTTTTCCTACCGTGGATGCCGGTCTGGTGAGTCATGGCTCCGCAGCTGCTCCGCTTCCCCAGATCGCAGCTCAAGCCCCGTCTCCGAGTCTGGCGCAGGAAACGGCTTGGTTGCAGCACCGCCTGCTTCCGGGTTCCTGCTGACTGGAGCTGGCGGGGCTGGGCGAGAGCCGCCCGAGGCAAGGCCGAGCGTGTCGCCAAGCGAACGGCGCTCCGAGGTGAGGGGCGGCGCTGCCGTGAGGCCTCCATTCATTGCTGTCGCCCCCGGATCTGGAACTACAGCTCCGCCGTGTGGGAGCCGGGGAGGGAGACGCGCTTCAGCGTGGGACGCAGCCCCAGCCGACGCATCTCAGTGTCTTGGTCCGTAGGGAAGAGGAAGAGTGGCATCCGCACAAGAAGTCTGGCGCCTGAAATAATGTGGCATGGCCCTTCTGAGCTGTTCTGAAAAAGAACCGTTTGCTGGAAGAGAGATATGGTTAATACAAGGAAAAGAGAAGAGAAGAGGAATAGTTTGGAAAAGCCAGGCAAAGGAAACCCAGTTTGGAGTGGTCCTACATCTCAAAGTGGGTTCTTATTAGTGCTGCCCTGTAAAATCTTATATATCTTTGTATTTTGCTTGATGAAGAGAGCCAGTTTGGTGTAGTAGCAGGTTAGAAACTGGAAGACCCTGAATCTTATGGACAAAGCCAGCTGGATAACCTTAGGCCTAGCCTTAGTAAGGAGGAAATAGCAAACCACTTTTGAAATCTGTCCAAGAAAGCTGCAGGGACTTGTCCAGGCAGTTACAAGGAGCCAGAATTGAAGGTGTATACCCACACACGCTGCCTGCCTTTCAAAAGAACCATACATTTCACATGCATGAATTTCTCATGCATGACTGTGGAGTTGCAGATTTTAGAGGGGTGGGGGGAGAGAGAGAATACAGTGAGCAACTAATGAACCAATCAAATTTAGTGTAGTTGGTTGTGGGAATCTAACCTTTAAGGTTACTTTAAAATATACTGTTTCCTTTGAATCTAGACATGGAATTGAAGAAATGGTGGTTAAATGAACAATGGCCTGTTGTGCAAACACAGCCTATATGTGAGGTTGCAGAATATAACAGCCCAAGGCATTCAGAAATAATCCCCAGAAACAGTTAGGCTTCATGGTTAAGGCACCATTAAAAACTGGGAGAGCATGAGTTCTAGTTCTGCCTTATCTATGAAAGCCAGTGATTTTAAGTCAGTTATTCTCTCTTAGACTAACCCACCTCACAGGATCATGGTTTTGGGGAAAATAGGAGTAGAAGGGTATGCTGAATATATTTTCCGTACTGAATTATTTGTAAAAATAATAAAGGTGGGATGAAGAAGCTTCTCCAGTTCTGACTAAACTGAAGAAGCTTCTTAGATGAGAGGCGAAACATTTTCAAGGAAAAACAAAGTCCAGTTGCCTTTTGAAAAAGCACCTTTGGGGCAATAAAGGTGGGGTGTAAAAAATAAAATAGATCTAAGAAAACAGAAGCCTCTTTTTCAGATTTAATGGTTTGGATGAAATTGGAAGATCAGTTGGGATATGCTGTAAACTTTAGTAGTTCATGTGTTTGATAACAGCTGTTTTGCTTATAGTGCTGCAGTATTGCCCCACAATGTATACATGTAGGCTGTGGGATATAAAACATAGTTTATGATGCCCATTTTGGAAAATAAAGTAATAAAGCACCTACCATAGTAGTACGTGCTGATAAAGATTTTCCTATAGACTCTATATTCCACTACCCTCCCTCCTCCAACTGATGCCCATCTACTAATGTCTACTTCTGAATGGCTTTGCTGACTTTCTCCTAATTGTTTTCTTCCAAAGTATCACAGTGACTACCAGCAAGTCAGCTACCCCATGCCACCTTCTCAGGTAAACTCAATGTTAATTGCAGCTCTGTTGCAAAGGCCAAGCCCCTGGGAGAGTAAAAAGCATTGGGGAGTGTGGGGTGCAAGAACATGATATTTGTAATATCTGCCAGGTATTTTTTTGTTTTCAGATTCTCTGTGGTAGTCATTGATAAACATAATGTATATTCTTAATTTACCTGACCCAGATAGTTTTTGGAAGAAAGATATCTAAAACAGCGAGTTAGGTAAAGATTTATTTAAGAAATGTTTTTCAAGAGGCACTTATACTCTGTCACTCTGATTGCCTTATTTTCTCACCCTCCCCACAATATAACAACTGTTATTGAAATGGGTATTGCTATAATAATAAATGAGTGGTTAGTGTTGAGATAATTCCCCATTAGGAGAATGAGCGCATACAGGAGACGTATTTGAGAGTAGTGTTTGAAAAATACACATACAGCACACAGATACACTGTACAGTAAATGTAGGTTTTTACTTCCAGATAGTTTAGGCAAAGTTCAAGATAAGCAGTCCAAAATCATTCACAGGTAAAATCAGTCAGTTTTCATCCAGGGTTAATCCAAATATCAAATTCCAGTGTCAAAAACAGTTCAGTATCAGACTTACATTAAATCCAGTAATATCAGTCAATTAAAAGAAATGGAGGAACGGCAATACTTTCCAACAGAAGGAAACAGAGATACACTTACACTCTCTTCTGAGACTCAGACCAAACAATCCAGGTTTCTGGCTCCATCTTATGGCTGTTTGAGAAACCACACCCAATTGCATGCTCTTGCATTCCCTTAAAGATATAGTACTAAAATGTTTATCCTGGTTTATATATTTCTAACCCAAATACCTGTTAGGTGACTTATATTCTTAACAGTTAGCCTTGCTTCAGATATATGTATCTATGTGCATTTATAGTTTGAGAGTCTGGGTAACTCAAAAGGAAACATATATTGGGATTACAGGTTGAAGATTACAGAACAATGGAATAAAATTACATGGAATAAAAATAGAATATACTTTTGGTGGATTGTAAATTTCCAAACAGCCCAATTTTATATGATTTTTTCTTTCTTTTCAGCATTGGTGCTTTAGAAAGGATACCTTATATTTCATATCTCTCAGTACTTTGATATCTCATGTTTCCACCCAGAAAAGGTATTTACTCAGCAGAAAGAAGGCATAAGAAGAGTTGCTCTAAAGTTAGGAGTGTAACTTTTGTAAGGAGGTATTCTAGAGGTTGGTGAAAGAAAATAAAAATAAACCTCATGTAAGAAATACATAGTGATAAGTAATAAGTGATGAGAAGGCTATTTAAATCTCTGTAGCTAAGAGCCTGTCAGGTGCTTTTTAGCAGGGAAAGAGTTCCCATCAAGTGACAGCTAGAACTGCAGAGTCCACCCAAAGGGAAAAAGGAGATGAGCTGAAAGAAGAGACAAGTGATGAAAGCCCTGAGAGCGTCAATCTAATCAATAGAAGCCATGTTACAAAGTCCTTTAGCCATGTTTAAGTCCTTTAGACCAGCAGTCACCAACTGGTAGGCCACGGCCCACTGGTGGGCCGTGATAAAATTTTGGTGGCCCGCAGAGATATCTCACCCCCAGACCACCCCCACAAAGCAATGAATCCAGGCTGCACATAAACACAAGGCTGTGCTGCCCACGTGGCCCGCAGGAACCCTCCCCGCTTACTCACTTCTTACTCAGTAAACTTGCCTGCTAAATTGCTATTTTTCCTTTTTCCGACCATTATCTGTTCTGTTGTGCCGGGAGATTTAGATTAGCTAGGAAGCAGGAAATGATTGGATTTCTTGCTTTCTAGCTAGTCTTTAGATCTTCGACTCAGCACAGCCAAACCTCCCTTAGGACTGAAGGTTTGCTTGCAAGCAAATTCAGTGCAGACTCACGGCAAGCAAACTTGAGAGACTGAGCTAGCCGATGGCAGATAGATCACTGAATGATTCTGTGAGCAACTCAGTCTGCCTGCTTTGCCTGATTTTGGGTAAAAGTTGCTTTTTTTAAAATAAAATAAATTCAATATTTATATAAATATAATATTTACATACAAGCCATGCCCAGCCAATCACATGACCACCAAGCCACACCCACAAATTAGACCACACCCACAGAACCAGTTAGTGGTCCCTGGGATCTAAAATTATGAGTTTGGTGGTCCCTGAGATCCAAAAGGTTGGCGACCCCTGCTTTAGACAAAGCAAGGATACAGAAGCCCATTCCTTTTACTAATGCTTTGGGTGTTTATTGCCTCTAACTGGCAGGAGATTATAGATGCAGAAAGCCAGGGCATACAAAGCTGAATTAAAAATAATGGCTCCATCTTGCAAAGGGGTTTCACAGAGAGTTCGGTAGCTTTTCATTGGGAATCATTTGGCTGTCAGTTTCTTCTGTATGAATAATCTCCTACTGGAAGAATCTGTGTTTGGTTTGTTCTGGTAACAGATAACTGGAATAGCTTAAAATGCTTTAATGGTTTTTATGTTTCTTTAATTAAGAATTTTTGAAAAAATGATGGCATGTTCAGTATTTATATGCCACTAAATAGATTAAGGCATATATATAAGTTATTTTTCTGTTCTCCAGTCTCTGAAGGTCTAGTTCAGTATCTTGCTGATTGATAGTCTTATTTTCATTCTGTTATGAACATCAGTGTAATTTGATCCTCAACATGCTTTTTTAGATTTTCTAAATCCTGGTTTATTATTAAATCTTAATATGATTTAGGTCAGTTTTAAATAGAATCAGAATTGGAAATGATTATAGCAGTCATCTTGCTTGGTCCCCTGCTCTGTGTGAGATCCATTAGAGCACCACAAAAGGTTTGGTCTCTGGACCTCTTTACAATTTTAACAATGGTTGACAACCCCAAAGAACTTTAATTAAATGGGATCTATCCACCCATCCATTCCACTGAATCAGAGTTGACTCCTGACAAGATCATTCCAAGATTTCTGAAGCAGTTTGCAATTGCCTGCTTCCTAGAGCTGAGAGATAGTGACTAGCCCAAGATCAGTCAGTTGTCTTTGTGCCTAAGGCAAAAGTAGAACTCATGTTCTTCAGATTTCCAACCTGATGCCTTAAAATCACTACACCAATTGGGCTCTCCTAACTATATTTACTGTATTAGAAATTAAAATAGAGAAATACTTGAGGACTGCTGCCCTAAAACATCTCTGGTAATGATCTATTCAGCCTTCCTGCAAAGACCAGCTTCTGTATAAAGATCACTAGAACATTGTGTGAATCCAGTAATAGCAGTTAGTTCACTAAATCAAGTTTAAAAGCTTTAGGTAACAATGGATCCAAATGCAATATATTGGAAAGTATACTGAAAATAAATACTAAGGGTAAATAATATGTATGAAATTTGTTATATTTTAGGTAGATCGTTCAATGACACTAAATC